TCCTCCAACAAGCCACTCTGCGAGGGCTAGCTGGGCTTGGCGCGGCACTGCCCCAGACGTCAGGGGCGTGGATATGTCCGTGTCCGATGCGGGGGGCATCCATCTGATATCCCCTGTGACCCTGTGTCTCCGAGGCCGTCTATGATCGCGGACGCGGGCGGCGCCACTGGTTCAACCGGGGGTGTTCAGCCTCCGGCCGCCCAGCTTAGGCCACCGCCCGCGCCGATACCCGCGCCCACATTCACGGACCCTGAAGAGATAACGCTCAATCCCAATGATGGCAGTGACTTGTTGTCTATATCAAAAGTACTAGGTCATATATGACTCAGCCGCCTGGGGAGGGAAACGGTCAGACGGGGAGTCACCATCAAATGGCGTGTTCCATGACTGAGGGCCAAGAGATACGTTTGCTTGAGCGGGAAAAAGAGCCTGACTTCAATATCGAGGGCATGTTCAGTCATATTCCCGATTGCATGAAGCGCCAAGTTGATCAGGCACACAGCGACGGACCAGTGACCGGCGAGCTCATGGCTTTTTCATTCCATGCGTTTAAATCGTTGCGTACCATAGCACAATTTCAGGAAGATCCGATTCTCGCTGTGCTGCAGAACTATTCGAAAGACGACTATTCGACCACCACTATGATGATCCTCAAACTGGTGGTACATACGTGTGGAATGTTCCTGAAAAGGAGATGGCAGCGTTGTTCTGCCGATGACTATGACTGCTACTGTGATCTTCGTCGTGCGAGGTGAAGGGGGAAGTTGTTGGCAACGGCTCAGTCCGGGCTGCGCTACATGCTCTACAAGAGCGGGTCAACGTGCCTGTACCTGAACTAGGGGGTTTATTTGTTGGATACGTCGGTTCGTTTCGGTCCTCCCCAAGGGAGATCCTGCGGGATTGTCGGCACCCCTTCCCCTGGCGCCGTACAAGTTTTTGGCGGTTGGCGCTAGTGGGGGCCAGTGTTCCCCAGGGGGTGCTAGGCCAGGAAACCGCGGTACTCTCTGGGGTGGGTTCGAAGTGTGGAGCCTATGCGTCCCGCCGCAGGGGGAATTGTTATTCTTCTCTCCCTGCTTGCTATCTGCCGCCGCCACCCGCAGCTATCTAGGCTGTACTGGAGGAGCGCCTCTTGAGGGCACAGCGGGCCCGTCGGCGCGAGATATGAAAAAAGGTTGTGGACTGTCGTCGGTGTCGTCGTCGTCCCTCCTCCTCTCTGCTGTTCTCTTGCGTACAGTGGCTCATAGCTTAACGGACCGCAGACAGCATATCTGATATACCCATCATGGGCGATGGGGCCGGTGCGTTAACGTCACCATCATATCCCAGTTTTGCAGGACATCGTGTTCTTCGGGTGAATGGTTAATACTGCTCATGGTGCTGATGATGAGGGTGATGATGATGTTGGTGATGGTGGTTGTGATGGTGGCGATGATGCTGATGATGTGGATGATGATTGTGGTTTCTGGGCTGATGGTGGTGGTGGTGGTGGTGGTGAGAATGATGGTGATGGTGATGATGAGGAGGATGCTGATGATTCTGTTGATGCGGGTAGTGGTGATGCTGGTGATGATGGCGATGATGGTGGTGGTGGTGATGAGGCAGCCGGTGCTTACGACAGAGGGGATGATTATGGGGATGTTGATGACGATGCTGATGCTGATGATGAGGTTGCTGATGAAGACGGCGGCTGCGGCGACGATGGCAATATCGATTATGTTGTTGCTGAAGTGGGCGACGCTCGCAACGATGAGGGATTAGGTGGCGAGGGCGATGATGATGAGGAGGAGGAGCGGGGGAGGGATGATGGAATGGAGAGAAGGAAGAGGTGCAGGAATATGACGTGGATCACGGTAGCAGGATAGCCAAACGGATGGAGGGGGAGGACGGAACAACGCATTTTGAATGATGTGGTGCTGATCGTGGTGATGCTGGTGACGAGGATAATGGTAGAGGGAGGAACAGAGAGAGAGAGAGAGAGAGAGAGAGACAAAGCAGAGAACGGGGAGAGAGAAAGAGAGAAAGAGAGAGAGAAGTAGAGAGATAGCGAGACAGAAGGAGAAGGAGAAAGAGAGAGAGAGAGTGTGTGAAAGAGAGAGAGAGAAACAGAGAGATACAGAGAACGAGCGGGAGAGAGAGAGAGAGAGAGCGAACAAAAGAGGAGGAACTATGTTGAGAGGTTCAGACGCGGTTGGGGGGAGGAGGAGGAGGACAATGATGCACATGAGCAGAAGGATGCCAGGAGGGTGAGGAGAATGGCTAGAGGATGAGGAAGACATAGAATAAGAGGGGAGGGGTGATGATGATGAGCAGGCGAAGGAGGAGGAGGTGGCGGAAGAGGAGGAGGGTGAGGAGGAGTAGGAGGAGACGGATGATACTAAGAAGAACGTGAATCGTTTCAATAATATTCATATTAGTTTCAATGTCAAGAATGATAAGAATGCTAACGATAATTCTTACTAATATGGTGAGCACAACGACAAACATCAGTTATAATAATTGAACCGAGAAGAGTAATCATAATACTAATATGCGACTAAGAGTAATAAAATAAAGAAACACAGTTCGACGATTAACGATAATATACACATTCATAACTAACATTGAGGATCATCGTAAACAAAGGAAAGCATGATATGATTAATGATAACATTTTCGTTATTATTACGAGTCTTATTATTATTATTATTATTGTTATCCTTATTAATATCATTATTATTAGTATTATTATATTTATAATGGCCATACTAATATTCGTATTAACACTCATAAAACTACGAATCATACTGATACTAATCGAACTAATCGTACGATCCACAATTATAATCATGATACTATCAAGGAAAGTGATAACACGAATAAGCACAACAGTAAGGAGGAAAAGCTGGGAGGAGGAGGAGGAGGAGGAGGAGGAGGAGGAGGAGGAGGAGGAGGAGGAGGAGGCGGAGGAGGAGCAGGAAGAGGCGGAGGAGGAGAAGGAGGAGGAGGAGGAGGAGGGGGAGGAGGAGGAATAAGAAAAACAATAAGAAGATGAATACTAACAACAAAAAGAAGAAACATGTTTATAATAATAAGAATAATGGGAGTACTATTAAGAAGAAGACAAATCATGATGATACTAAGAATAGCAATAACAATCGACATAAACACAACAATAATAAGAACAGTACTAATAATATTATTATTAGTAGTAATACTCAGAATAATAATAATAACAATACTAATAATCATACTAATAATTATGAGAATAGTAAGAAGCATAAGAAGAATACTAATAAGTAGAAGAAGAGGAGGAAGAAGAGGAGGAGGAGGAGGAAAAGGAGGAGGGGGAGCAGGAGGAGGAGGAGGAGGAGGAGGAGGAGGAGTAGGAGGCGGAACTGCAGCAGCAGCAGGAGCAGAAGCAGCGGCCGGCAGGCCCCCTCCACTGCAGCAGACGCTCCTGGAGGCCAGCGACGGCGTTCCGGAGGTGCCGCCCGCAGTGCCCGCAGGCCGCGTCCGCGCCCGCCCGTCCCCCTTCCGCTCCCTCGTGCTCCCTCTTTCTTTCCCTCTCCCTCCATGCCTCCATCCCTCCATGCCTCCATCCCTCTTCTTCCTCCCCCCTGCCCCTGAGTATATCTCCATATCTGAGGGTTATGACAATGTAGCCGCTCACCGTCTTTGCAAGCTTTTTCGTTTCTTGATATTCGTGTACCTTCAGAGAGTGCTGGATTCTTATCAGTGTCGGGGCTTGGAGCTGGTCCCGAGAGAGCCTCTTGCCTGCGGTATCCAGACTAACGCTTATTTGGAGATGACCAAGGAGCCCCGGTCTGGTTGCATGACCTCTCTGGCGCCCAGATCACGCAAAAGGTGTTCTGATTATCCCGGCTCCGTCACCCTCCACGCCTTACTCCGTCTGAATATGGTCGCCAGCAAGTTGCCTCCCCATGTCCTCGTCTCCGCGCTAAAAACTATCCCCAACGGGTGGAATCCGTCGGCAAGGTATTGGATGGGGACAGGGGTATGCAAATCGGGATGTCTGTGTGCTAATAGAGAAAGGATGTTCCAATCTTTCTGTTGTTAAGCTCTTCATCCCGCTGTGAAAGCCCTTCTCCCCGTCCTGCCTAGCTCGTGGGCCTCGGGAGGCCCTGAAAGTTCTGTTATTGGTGCCCCACCTTATCTTCCCAGGGGTGAATTATGATATTTTCAATTTTTCGTCCAAAACCCGCCTGTAGGGGGACATGCCCGACCTAAGTCCAGCCCTGGGAGAGGCCGCGCCCAGGGGGGGCGAGCTGCGCCCGGCCGGCGCCCTCGCAGCCGCATGCCGATGGGCCAGGGCTGCACCCCGCTGGCCCGGCGCTGCGGCGCCCGAGCCAGCCGCCGTCCTCGTGGGGGGACGGTGCAGTATAGCCTTAAGTCGGGCGGTGCAGTATAGCCTTAAGTCGGGATGCTCCAAACTAGTCACAAAATAGTGGGGGACGCTTTTTCAAGGATTTTTAATGACATGTTTGCATCTTTTTCTGGCATTTTCGCTTTTTTCGCGCCGGGTTCGCCTGTGGGGGGACATGCCCGACCTAAGTATAGCCGTGTGGGCGTGAGCCTGCGGCGGCCTCGCCCCGACGAGGCAAGCTTGAAGTCGTGCCCAGAATTAGCAAAAATAATCCAAACATAGTCCAACAAGAGTTCATCAAGAAATCAAGAAGTAGTCAACAATAGTCAGACATAGTCACAAGCATACAGGAGGAGTGTTCAAAAACAGTCCAGCGATAGTCTCGGGGCGACTTTTCGACTATTTTTGAGCATTTTTGAATCTCTTTTTGGGTATCTCTTCTTTTTTGTTCAAGTTCCGTCTGTAGAGGGACATGCCCGACCTAAGGCAGGCCTCCCGAGCTGGGCGCTCGCGTTAAGTCAGGCCTGTCGTCCTACAGGGGGATTTTGGACGAACAACTAAGAATAGTCAACACTACCCCCAAACGGTCAAAACATATTTAAAACATAGGTCCCATACTATTTTGTTTAACAACTATTTGTGAATCTCCCCCCTGTAGAGGGACACGCCCTGTAGAGGGACGCGCTGCAGGTCTCGCAGGGGCCGGTGGGCCTGCGAACTACTGAGGGTGCTGCTCCGAGGCTGCTTGGGGGCCGCCGCGGGCACGGGCTCCGCCGACGCTGCTGGCGAGAAGCATGCCGCTGCCGCCGACTGCAGTGACGTCGGGCCCGTCCCTCCACAGGGGGGATATTCTCGACTAGGCGTAAGAGTGACCTTTCGCCGGAGTGGCCTTTGGTGCGGGCCAAATGGGGCCCCCCGATCGCCGAACGCGGGGCGGCAGTGGCGTCTCGCGCGCTTGTGTTGGGCCCCCCCGCGGCCCCAAAGCCGCGCACCAAAGGTCACTCTTACCCAGGGTCACTCTTGCGTGTAGCCGGGAATATTCAAAAATAGTCCAAAAATGGTCTGGGGACTATTTTTTAAGTATTTTTGGGCATTTTTTAAATATTTTTGATTTTTCATCCAAAACCCCCCTGCAGGGGGACAGGCCCGACCCAAGACTACAGTCGGCCCGTATGCGCGACAAGGACGCAGCGGCCCTGGAAGGCGAGTTCGAAGCTTTTCGAGCGGGGCGCGGCCAACGAAAGCGACTAAGGATGGGCCGAGGAGGCAAGTATGCAAAGGCACCCTTGGGAAGGTTGCCCATCCTTACTCTGTGGGTTGACTGTGCGTCCCCTTCTGGTTCCAGGGATGTGGCGGATGCGGCGGCGGTGCCGTGCTCCACTGCTGCTGTCGCAATGATGCTGGATCGTGGCGCTCTTGGGGCTGAACATGCTCATCGTGTACGCGCTGGAGCTCCGGAGCTGGCGGCTGCAGCCGCTGGTGCGGCCTGTGAGCCTGAGCTCTACCTCATGCTGGCCCTGCTGCACGTCTCCCAGCAACACCCGATGGTGCTGTACCCCAGGGTCCCCCCTGCGCCGCGCCGCCTTCCTCGCCGCGTGCTCTGTGCCTGCTGCAGCCGCTACGCGCCGCCACCCGCACAGGACGGTCCCCACCACTGGCGGCCTGATCATTCAGGAGGGGACAAAAACACACAGACACAATTAATCGTCGATTTCCTGGAAAACATGGGAAAATATGGGAAGTGGGGGGGAAGACAAAAACCTACAAAATATGGGGAAATATGGGGAATCGTTTTATTTGTGTGTATTTATTTGTGTGTCCCTGGGCCCCTTCAATCATGCGCGTGCTGCTGCTGCGGGCGCGGATGGAGATCGTTCTCTCCCTCGTGCCCCGGCCCTGCTGCACGGCCAGCTGGCGCTGCGCCTGCTGTGGCCTCCGTGGAGGCGGCTGCTCCCGGGGCCGGCGGCGGCGAGGCGGCCACTGCTCCCGGGCCGTTGCTGCTGCCGTCGCCTGGTCCAGGGACCTGCCTATAGGGGGCCACATGCGAACCCTACCCCTACCCCCCACGATTTCTGAGGGGGAGGGTGGGGTTCGCTTCGCTCGGGAGCTCCCGAACGAAGTAAACCCCACCCTCCCCCTCAGAAATCGTGGGGGGTAGGGGTAGGGTTCGCATGTGGCCCCGTATGCCGAGAGGCCAGCACCACTGCGGCCCCAGCCCGGCCCGGGAAAAGGATCCACGAGAGGACAAGAAAGGGGCTTGGTGGGGATGGTCGGCCGGGCGAGGCGGCCGCCGCTGCTGGCGCTGCTGCTACCGTGGACGCGGCTCCAGACTAGAGGTCGCAAGGTGCTGTTCGTGCTCGTCGTGACCAATCCGAGGCTCTGGGTCTTGTTGCTGATGCCGCTGGCGCCCGGCATGTTGCTCCACCTCATGCTGGCCCCGCACGTCTACCTGCTGCTACTCTGGAGGTGGGCAAGCCCCTCCCCTCCCAGCGCCCCCTGTCGGGTGGCGAGGCAGCCTGGAGGCCCCCACCAGCTCCAGCTCTCTGCTGCACGGCTGCCGGCTGGTGCTGCTACATCGCCTGAGGCAGCCTCCTCGTCCATCATGATGCCGACGATGAGTGTGCCACAGCCAGAAGCGCAGGCTGCCGCACAAGATGCCAGCACCGCCGAGGGCGATGAAACTTCTGAAGATGGCCGGCCAGCAGTTGCCAGCGCTTTTGACCGCGAGTCCGCGGAAGGTGATGTTTCCCATCGCATTGCCGACACTGAATGAAGATTCGCATCCCTCCGGGCGCTGGGAGAGCTGGTCTCCGTTCGTGAGCCAAGCAAAGTAGATAGCCGTGGGCGCGTGGTTACGTTGCCCTCCGTGTGCAGCGAGTACAAATAATTCAAATTCTTTGGTTCGCAGCGAGCCTGTAATATCCGCTGCTCGCATCGGCGCTGCTGCGAGTGGTGACACGTCTGCTCTCGGCACGCGAGGTGGTGGCTACGGCGGGGCCGCTGCCCCCTCCCTCGCCACCCACACGCAGTACGGTTGTTCCAGATGCACTTTTGGCCACGCGCAGCGCGGCCTCCCGTGAGTGAAATGAACGGTCTGTCTACTCTGTAATAACGGTTTTTTGAAGGCAGATCTGCTTTCAAAAAACCGTTCTTTTGACGGCAGATCTGCCTTCAAAAAACCGTTCTTACAGAGTAGACCAGTCTTTCCTCTTTGAAGGCAGATCTGTCTTCAAAAAACCGTTCTTACATCTTTTGAAGGCAGATCTGCCTTCAAAAAACCGTTCTTACAGAGCCCCCGTCATGGGAGAGGTAAGCTCAGATAGTTAGCAGTGCGTTGAAAGACTCAGCAGCGATTGACTCCGGCCCTCTCTGCTGCACTGCTGACTGCTGTCTTTGCCTTTGTGCTCGCCTCAGCACTGTCTGCCGCTGTGTCGTTTGCTCGCCTTCGTCCGATCCAGCAGTCCTGTTCGGCATCCTGGCGCCCGTGAGTCGCAGATCCCCTGCATCATCACATTCGGCCGAGTCGAGTGCTCCCGCCTCGTGCAGTCTTCCTCCAGCGAACCAGGTCCGAAATCCCAACGCCCTCGCCCCTGCCTTCCGATCCTTCCTCCCAGGGGGGGAGCGGGAGCCGGAGCGGGAAGCGGAGGGGATGGGGGCAGGACGGAGACCGGAGGTGGGGAGGGGGACAGCGGTCGGTCGGCCAGACTCGGCATTGCAGCCGTCCGCTCGCCGTGATGCTGAAGGCCTTCCCCTCGCCCTCGCCTCGGCCCCGGCTGCTGCCACGGTCACCGCCGCCTCGGTCGGCCGCTCTGGCCCGCTCGACGCGGAACTCCTCCACGTTCGAGCGCTTTCCCCTCCCCCTCTCTCATCCTCCTCCTCCTCCTCCTCCTCCTCCTCCTCCTCCTCCTCCTCCTCCCCCTCCCTCCCCCTCCTCCCTCCTCCCTCCTCCTCCTCCCTCCTCCCTCCTCCCCCCTCCTCCCTCCTCTCTCTCCTGCCCTCTCCCCGCGGGGCCGCTCTCGTCCTTCTCCCCCCCCTCTGGCACGCCGGCCGCTTTGCCTTTCGATGGCCCCGAATAGCCGTGCGCTGGAGCGGACCGCCTCTGCCCCGCCGCCGGGGAAAAGAGCAACCTCGGCCGCAGGCCTCCTCAGCGGAGGGAGGCCCCGTCCCGAGGATCAGGTGGCCCAGCGCATGTAATGCCGAGGGGGGCGGCGCAACGCGCGGAGCGCTGGAAACGGCAGTGCGGAGAGCACGGAGACAGTGCAGACGGCTCGATAAGGAGGTGAGAGAGAGAGAGAGAGAGAGAGAGAGAGACGTGCAGCCATCGAAAATGCAGTGCAGCAGTGGGGACACAGGGGGCGGGGAGGAGAAGGAGGAGGAGGAGGAGGAGGAGGAGGAGGAGGAGGAGGAGGAGGAGGAGAAGGACCAGAGTAAACCCAAGATGCGTCACCCGATGCTGCAATACAACCTCCCGTCCCAAGTCCCCCCCAAATAAGTCCATACAAGAAGCATTCCTTTCCACTGCGGGCGCACACCCTTGAATGACGAGCGGCCAGTCGGTCCGCCAGTCAGACGACAGCGCCTGTTGCAAAGGATCCTCCCTCCGCTTGAAGGACGCCTAGGGTAGCCCCATTTTGAGAAGTACGTGCCCTCCATCCGTCTAAATGCTGCAGGATGTTAAAGTCGTGAAGGTATGCTCCGCGGGAGTCCCACTCCAGAGCCCTTCAAGAATATCCAGGGATCATTTCATTTTGAGGCGGAGACGCCCTCCCTCATTTCATGCGTCGCAGAATGTCAAGGTCGTGGAAGTACGCTTCGCGGAAGTCTCACGCGAGAGCCCCGTTTCCAAAGATGAGCCGCTCGCCATCCGTGTTAGTTGTTGCACACTGAAACGCCAGGTCGTAGATGTAGGGGGAAGGTCAAGTGAGAGTAGATGGTGGGCTTTGTTTTTGATTGTGCGCGAGGCCAAGAGGGAAACCCCAATACGGCGGAGGGTGTTCGTTAATGAGTGTGCCGAGGAGGCTGCAGACCCTGGAAGATTCCTGGTCTGATGAGGGCGACCGTGGTATCTATGGCTGGTCCACGTTCGGAGTTTCACTAGCTTCCAGACCATGGATCCCTTACCTATGGCGACGGCAAGCCTGGGAGCGCTTGGGGAGGGATTGTAGCATCTGGGAATGCTTGGGAGCGTCGTGGAGCGTCTGGGAGCGCCTGGGGCCGCTTGGGTTCAACATCGGAGTCGGCGTGGGGTGCCCGAAACGTGTGTGTGTATATATGGATATATCTAATGTACGAGTTATACAAATATTATTATTATTGTTGCTTCTTGTGCCAAGCATGGGCTCTTCGGGGCCAGGGGTGGGCCGAGGTTGAAGATCAGCATATCCGCACCGAGTACAGGTTTCACGTAGGATGATGGGGATGAGGCCAGCTTCGAAGTCGAAGTCGGATGAGGAGGAGGAGACAAAGGAGTGGGGAGGGGTAGAGGAGGAAGGGCGGGAAGGAGGAAGATAAGGAGGAACTGGAGGAGGAGGGGGAGGAGAAGGAGGAGGGGGAAGAGGAGGAGGAGGAGGAGGAGGAGGAGGAGGAGGAGGAGGAGAAGAAAGAGGAGGAGGATGACTAGTGGAAGCCCAAGTTTCATCAGCGATGTTGGAATAAGCCCTCCCTCCAAGCTCCTACTTCATAGGCCCCCTACAAAGCTCATTTCCACTGAGGGAACTGCCTCGTTGGGAGACAACTGCTTGAAGAGCTTGAAGCGTGCCAACACACCAATCTCGAGGCTCGAGCGCCACGAGTCAACATGACTGTTGCGCCCTGACGATCCTAAATCGTGCCAGAACGCCATTCCTGGCCGAATCAACGTAATTGCTGCGCCCTCACCATCCTGAGTCTTTCCAAAACGCAATTTCTGGCACGTTGACCATGGGCATGCGTAAAACCATTTTGCATTGTTTTCAAAAGCGAGTGCGCGCGGCGCTAAGGCGAGAGCCACATTTAGAACAGGAAAGACGACTGTGCGCGGCGCCGACAAGAGGAACCGCCCTCAATCTGTGAAATTCTCGTACATGTTTTAAATGTGCGCGGCGCTGAGGAGAGAGTTACATGTTGAACACCACCCGCCCTCAATCCGTGAAGCTCATGTAATTGTTGTATGACGACTGCGCGCGGGGCTAAGGCGAGAGCCACATCTTGAACACCACCCGCCCTCCATCTGTGAAACTGTTGCCACTTTCCAAGCTTCAGGGTCAAAACGGCGACGAAGTCTGAGGCGAAACGCCCAGCCTGCCCTTTCGACCAGCCCTGGGTTGCAAAAGGGACGAGTTATGTATAAGGACATGGCAAGAGGAGGAGGAGGGGGGAACGTCGGCCCAAGTGGGCCCTGCCCGAGAGAGGCCCCCAAGGGGGGCCCGTGAGAGCTCCAAGGCGGCCCCAGAAGGCCCCCAAAAGGGGCTCCAGAGGGCCCCCAGGAGGCCCTTAAGAGGACCCCCACGGGGGCTCCCCGAGGAGCGCCAGAGGGGGAGCAAGAACCGACATGTCCTGTTGCCCGCCCCAAAAGGCTCCCGCGCCGCGGCCGTCCAATCCACGGCCGCCGCGACTCTGGTGCCGATCTCGGGGAACAAGTGTTCAAAGGCTGTCGGTAGTTTTCAGCAAATATTCCGGACCCGGGGCGGACTCCAGCAGGTACGCCTCGTCGAGAGCGGTCTGGGGATGCCGGAATCGTCCCAAACAACTCGGCGAGGGTGGGACACTCTGGCCAGCAAGGGGGGAGGGGCAGGCAAGGGAAGGGTACGATCCAAGAGGAGGAGGAGGAGGAGGAGGAGGAGGAGGAGGAGGAGGAGGAGGAAGAGCAGCAGGAGGAGGAGGAGGAGGAGGAGGAGGAGAAGCAGCAGGAGGAGGAGGGGGAGTTTTTGCAATGCGCGGCAGCCAGGCGCACACCCAATTCGCGAGAGCAAAATGGCCGGGCGACAGGCTGGCAAAACAAAACCTGCGGGCTAAACACCCGCCGAGGGCCACTCGCGGACCCCAGGCCTAGGAGGGAGGCCCTTGCGCAGCCGCATCAAAGCAGTCAGCTGCGCCTTGGTCAGCGCGAGGGGTCCGAACCTCACCGCCTCGCACTCCTCCAGAAGACGGGAGGGCCTGGAGTCCGCGTAGCGACCACAGATGCTGCAGAACGTGATGGCGCCCTTGCGCCACAAAAAGTGCGAGGCATGCGGCACATGACCCGCTATGCCAGTGCCAGGAGGCAGCCGAGATGGGGGATCAGGCATCCCCAGAAAACGAAAGAGCTGTTCGTCGATGGGCGGCAGTCCTGCGTACGAGCGCGGCAGCCTGACGCAGACCCGAGGCGCGGACGCAGCGTCCTCCACCTCAGGCTCTGCCGCAGGCTCGAGAGGCACCACACCGTCCCCCCCCCCGTCCTCGACCGCCCCGTCCCCCTCCCAACGCTGGCCTCGCTGCTGCAGCTCCACGCTGCAGGGAGGCGTGCTGGGCGACGGCCTCAGGGCCGAGCACGAGGAACGAAGAAGATGGATGGCACGGCTCTGATTTCGCCTGACCGATCGGCCACAGCTCTTGCAACGCCAGCCGATAGCGGTCGACGCAAAGGCATGCTGGGAAAGGGCCGCAAAGCCTGCCAGCAGCTCCACCCTCCTCTGAGCCCTCGAAACCTTCGGTTTGGTCACCTCACGGCCAGGGCTCTTGGGGGCGGAGGCGGCGGCAGCACAGAGGGTAGCGTTGCGGAGCAGGATGGCCTCGGCCTGCTCCACCAATTCCAAA